GATGGAATTGACAGACGTACGTTCAAATGAGAGAAGTGGCGGCGGCCGCCGGGCGGGGTCGGTGGCGGCCGGGCTGGGAGGCAGGAGGAAGAATCTTTTGGTAGGATTTGTGTTGAATTTGTTGTTTAGAATTTGTGATGTATTTGATTGTGATGTGAATAAGTGATGTTTTGTTTTTAAATTTGTGATGTAACCATCTTTGAGATTTTGTGATGTATGATCTGTGATTTGGAGATGATTTGGGGATTTCACGATTTGGGATGATTGATGTGTGATTTATTTGGGGATTTGACGATTTACGGATAATTTGGGAATTGAGTGAAATCAATATGCAAGGAGTTAAAAATAATAAAAAACTAAAAAAACATATCAATCGGGACCTGGCCTCTTCCATCGTTACCAACCGGGACTAAAGATTTCATCTTTGGTCACGGTTGTTAACACCAACCGGTACTAGAGATATTTCACCCGAGACTATCTTTTGTCCCGGATTCGTAGTCAGTGTTAGAATTCACGTTGTCAACAATCGAACAAGTACACACGAACACACGGACACGAAAGTGGAGGGCAATCAACTTTATTGATGTTTCTCTCTCTGTTACAAGTATTACTTTGCCCTCAACCTCACTATTGTATTTATACCCACAATAGGATATCCTATATGGATACATACATATATATTTGGTATAAGCCCACTTCATTAATAAGGAAACAGAAGAATAGAAGGAGGAGGTACCGTGATCCTCATGATCACGGTCCTACAAATCCGACTCCTTCGGGAGATCGGTTTCATAACACTCCCCTTTGGATGAATACCGCGCTATACATATGCCTCATCAAAACTCCTTCCAAAAATCCAGTGGGAGAAAAGGAATAGGAGAAGGAGTACATAGTACACGCTACTTATATTGCACTGTTGTCTCATTAAAAACCTAAATGTGAGAAACTTCAAAGAAAACTCACTAAAGGGAAAAAGAGTACAACCATAAGCTAATCTACTGGATAACTCTTTCATTCTTCAAGAATGATATACTGATCTGCATGATCAATATCAACGGAACACAGTTAGGGAAGTGCTCCCCTTGATTTGTGCACATCTCTCATCCTCCTCATACCGATGCCATGCACAAGCTTCTCAAAAACACTAGTTGGCAAAGACTTAGTAAATAAATCTGCGAGATTTTCACTAGTCTTGGTGAGAGTCACCTTGATTTTTATTTCTTTTGCAATTCATGCATATAGAAGATTTAGGCGATATATGTTTTGTGAGACTCGTCTTCACATAACCCATTTGTATTTGTGCAACACAAGCTGAATTATCTTCATAAATAATGGCTGGAGTTGGTGTGATATTTAGTCCACATGTATTCTGTACATGTTGTATCACCCTCCTCAACCACATGCATTCCTTGCTCACTTCAAATAATCCTATAATCTCCGAGTGATTTGTTGATGTCGCGACCATCGTCTGCTTCGTCGACTTCCATGAGATGGTTGTACCACCACAGAGAAACACATACCCAGTCTGTGACAATGCTTTGTGGGGGTCTGACAGATATCCAGAATCAGCATATCCCGCCATGGTTAAATCTTGATTTTTTCTAAAGAATAAACCGAGATCTTGTGTGCCACGTAAATAACGGAGGATTTGCTTAATGTCATTCCAATGCCGTTTGGTAGGAGCTGAACTGAACCTTGCAAGTAGGTTAACAACAAATGCAATATCAGGCCTGGTACCATTCGCGAGATACATTAAAGCTCCAATTGCGCTTAAATATGGACATTCATGTCCCAATAATTCCTCGTTATTTTCCTGTGGTCTAAATGGGTCACTCTCTACTGCTAGAGATCTTACTACCATGGGGGTTCTCGTCGGATATGAATCCTTCATATTAAATTTCTCCAATATCTTCTGGATATATGCAGACTGGTGTAACAATACCCCTTCAGGAGTGTGCTCAAGCTGCAGACCTAAGCAATATTTAGCCTTACCTAATTCTTTCATCTCGAACTCCGTCTTTAGGTAAGAACTAGCTTCCTTAATCACCTGTGTGGTCTCGATGATATTCAGATCGTCCACATATACAGAAATAATACAAAATCCATGTTCTGATTTTTTGATAAACACACAGGGACAGTCATCATTCTTGATGAATCCTTTTCTAGGAATTCACTGAGCCGGTTGTACCACATCCTACCGGATTGTTTTAACCCATACAATGATCGTTGCAATTTAACACTGTATATGTTGCGTTTTGTTTCTTCAGGAACTTGAATCCCGTCGGAAACTTTCATATAGATTTCAGAATCCAATGACCCATATAAATATGCAGTCACTACATCCATCAACTGCACTTCTAAGTTCAAATTGACTGCCATAGATATTAAAAACCGGAATGTAATTCCATCCATTACAGGTGAATAGGTTTCATCGAAATCGATGCCAGGTCTATGCGTAAACCCTTGTGCTACTAATCTCGCTTTATACCGAACCACCTGGTTGTTCTCATCCTGTTTTCGGACGAACACCCATTTATATCCTACAGGGGATATCCCTACGGGGGTACGATCAACAGGACCGAATACTTTTCTTTTATTGAGCGAGATTAACTCTGCCTTTATTGCTTCTTTCCATTTGACCCAGTCTTAACGCTTTTTGCATTCTGCCATGGACTTTGGTTCTGGGTCCAGATCAATGATCTTAGCGATCTTTTCGGCAAAGTATATGTCGACAATAGTAGTCTCTTTATTGTATGTTTCACCTGTATCCACATAATTGGTGGATATTTCCTCTATTCTTTCACATTCCTGATCTTCATTGTTTCCTGCAATGTTTAAGTCAGGAATTTCCGGTCTCCCAGTGCTAGTAGTAATTGCGCGCGCATTCTCACTAGGTTCATTGCCATCTGGGCATATCACTGCAGGTGGCTCATCTTCCTGGTGAGCTCCTTCACTATTCTCTGGTGCTGTGGTATTCTGTCCAATCTGTTGTTTCGTAGGACGTCTCCTAGAAACTTTAGTTTGGTTGTGTGCAACCGGTGGTCTCCCCCTCTTCCTAGAAGTTAGGGTAGATGTAGAAATTAATTTGAAAACCGGTTCCTCTGCGTCATGAGGTATTTCTATTCTTTCCGGTGCATTCACAGCAGGTATATGAGATTTCATGATCCCCTTTGGGTTAGTGAAGGCTTCTAGCAGATTATTTGCAATTCTTTGCAAATCAATTATGCTCTGAACTTCATGGTCAGATTCCTTAGTACGTGGATCTAAATGTAGGAGATTTTTAGTTTCCCACTCAATTTCGCGGCATTCGACCTTCTGTAGGTACTTTCCTCCCCCTAATGCTGGGAAATGATCTTCATTAAATATACAATCAGCGTATCGACCCGTATGTACGTCTCCTGTCAATGGTTCTAAAAATTTAATGATAGACGGAGATTCAAATCCTACATAGATTACTAATTTTCTATGAGGACCCATTGACGTACGCTTAGGTGGCGGTATAGGGACGTATACAACACATCCAAAATTGTGCAGATGGGAAATATTTGGTGCATATCCACGTGTAAGCTGCATAGGGGATACAACATTGTATGCAGTGGGTCTGATTTGAAGTAACGCCGCTGCATGCAAAACAGCGTGTCCCCAACATGTAGTTGGTAGGTTGCTATGCAGTAGCAATGGCCTAGCGATAAGCTTAATCCTCTTAATTAATGATTCGGCGAGACCATTGTGAGTGTGGACGTGTGGTACAGAATGTTCCACTTTAATTCCCAAAGCCATGCAATATGCATTAAATACCTTAGAGGTAAACTCCCCGGCATTGTCCATTCTAATGGATTGTATCCGGTTATCCAGGAAATTGGCTCTCAACTAGATTATTTGGGAAATAAGCCGCGCAAAAGCGTGCTTTCTAGTAGAAAGTAAGCAAACAGTGCTCCAGCAAGTTGATGCATCAATTAATACCATAAAATACCGGAATGATCCGGACATTGGATTAATTGGTCCACATATGTCGCCCTGTATTCGTTGCAAGAATACTGGTGATTCTGCGTCCACCTTTAAATTAGAGGGTCTAACGATTAATTTCCCTGTTGCACAATTAGTGCAAACAAAATCTTCTTGGTTTGGGAAATCGTTAGTTCGTAAATTATGGCCATTTGAAGTGTTGCACAATCAGTGCAAACAAAATCTTCTTGGTTTGGGAAATCGTTAGTTAGTAAATTATGGCCATTTGAAGTTAAGATGATTCTTCTCATCATCCCTAGACCGTATTCTGTATGACTCAGGATTTTTAAATATTGTTTTCAGTGCAACATTTTCGGGTTTTATATGAGTGTAGTACAGTCCAGATTTCAAGGAAGGGAGTTTTTCAACAACAGTCTTATGATTTCCGTCTAATTTCGTTATGAGAAGAAATTCGAGTTTATTCTCATCTTTGGTTTCTACGTGATAACCATAAGCACGGATATCTTTAAAGATTAGTAGAGTACGACTGGACTTTAGATATAATAGAGCATCATTTATAATGATCTTGGTACCATGTGGGAGAACTACTGTTGCTCGTCCCACTCCGACGATGGGTGCATTGCTTCCGGCAATAGTAGCGATTTGACCAGTCTTTTTCTTTAAAGTCTGGAAATACGTGGTATCTCAAAAGATAGTATTGGTGGTACAACAGTCTACCAGACACATCTCCTCTTCCATTGCCATAGTACGTAACACTGTTCTATCATAAAGAATTTAAATATAGTCAATTCATGACCATATAGCAAAAATAACACTTTAAGATAGAAAAATAAAAATCTGGAGAATATATTAAACTAAAAGAGTTCACTCAATTATTAAGATAACCACGCTCTGAAGGAGCTTACAGAAACTATAGTTCTGCTAGGAACACAAACTAAATGCACACTTGAAAAATCACCTAACTTTAGTCTATTACATAGTCTAAAATTTAAAGTAACTTATAATGCAGGAAGCTAAGATACAAATTGGAAGACTTAAATGTCCCCATATAACTGATCAGAGTCCATGAGATCATCTGAGAGCTTCAGCTCTGCGTCTGCTGCATTCTTTTCCATCTTATCATCGATGTGCATTGCAACCACTGCCTTCTCGTCGACCTGCTTGTCGATATGCATGGCAGCCATCTTCTCTTCTGAGTGCTGGATCTCAACAGTGAAGTGTGACTCATGCTCTGACTTCTTCTTCCTGTGCTTCTCTTGATAAAGCTCAATGAGATGCTTAGGGGTGCGGCAAATGCGAGACCAGTGTCCCCTAGTGCCACACTTGAAGCATACCTGATCTTGCTTTCCATATTCACCACTAGTAGAGCCCTTCTTAGACTTACTGTTCTGATTTCCTTTCTTCTTGAAAGACGTCTTGTTAACTTTGCCACCATTTTTCCAGAAATTCTTCCCTTTGTTCTGGTTATTCTGGTTTTTCCCCTTCTTAAAGGAGCTAGCATTTGCTTCAGGTGCTGCTGAACTTCCAGTGGGGCGAGACGTATGATTTTCAACAAGTGTCTCATCTTCTCCTTGTGCTTCGATGAGCATGGAGACCAGTTCAGAATACTTCTCGTATTTAGCCTGGCGGTATTGCCTCTGAATATTCACATGATTGGCATGGAAGGTGGACAAAGTTTTGTCTATCATGTCAGCATCAGTGATTTTCTCTCCACATAGCTTAAGACAAGTGACATTGCGGTGAAGAACTGAGTTATATTGCTCCACAGATTTGTAATCTTGGAAACGTAAGTGAAGCCACTCACGTTTTGTTTTTAGGAGCAAGGCCTTTACTTGATGGCCATAGCGATCCTTCAGTGAGTCCCAAAGGACCTTCGGATCTTCCTCAGTCATATACTCATTCTTGAGAGTAGTATTCAAATGGTGCCTCAGGAAATGCAGTGCCTGATTTTTCTCAGCTGAAGTTGGTAAATTATTAACTCCTCCAGCTGATGTTGCAATAGTTGGGTCCTGAATGCAGTTCAGGAGTTTCTTAGCACCAAGCATGATTTTGGCATCCAGTGCCCATGTCAGGTAATTCTTGCCGCTGACTGCTAGTTCAGCAAAATCTCTCTTAGCAATATCAGTCATTTTCCTACATTAGTCATGCAAAATTCAATAAGTACTGCAAGTAGGAGCATGACAAGTGTGCAAATAGTAAATTCTGGTTATCTAAATTTAGTACTGTGTCAATATATTCCCATAATTCTCCCAATAATTTTCAGAATTGTTTCACTAATTATTTAGGTACCAAAGTAATTACTGAATTACTAACCCATTAAATAGTATTCTGAAAACAGCTAGGAAAAATAAACCATAAACACGATGCTCAGGTTCAAATGATGAGAGCTCATTGCCTAAAAACCATGTCTCTAGGATTTTATGGTTGATTCAAAAATTAACTAATAAATAGTTAATATACAGAAAATTGAAAATACGGAATAACAAAAATAATCTGACATTCTCAGTAATTTCTATAATCCCGAGGGACTATTCCGCTAAAATTCCAAATCCGCGTGTATCCTGAAAATTCTAGGACATATTTAGAAGTTTGCCATTTTCGGGCCAAATTTCGATTTGAGCCCGACTCCTTTTATAGGCCTAATTTATACTCGGCCCACCTCTATGTACCGGCTACTCAAATTTTAACCGGCCCGTCGGGACCGTCGGCCTGCTAATGGCCTTGGCCCATAAGCGGCCCAACAAGAGCGCTGCACCTTATCCAATCGGGTGGCTAGGGTTGAAACCCTAGCCCCCAATTCCACCGATTCGATGGTGGCGGCGAGTATCCCGGCGGCTCATGCGAGTGAGGCGGCGAGGTTGACGGGGCTCGTCGTCATGGCGGGGTCGACAGAGCTCGTCGGCGCGGCGGGGTCGATGACAGAGGCGGAGCGGCGGTGAGGCTACAAGCAGCACTGACGCTGGCGTGGTTGGCTACGGGCCGTATCCAGCGTCCGGCAAGCGCAGCTCCTTGCTGTGCGCCGGCGGAATTTGGCTCGGCATGTGGGCCGGCAAGGCGGACGGCTATCAGCGGCGGGAGGCCGCGGCGGCTTCGGCCCCCGACCCAGTCGTGTGCGGTAGCGCTGGAGGCGTGCTGTGCGTGCCGTCGGCGGGGGGGATGCGGGCGCGGTCTCCTCAGCGTCTCTGCGGGCGGCGGTCGTCGACGGCGAGTGCGGATGGTCGATTGAAGACCCGTCGGCTGGCTTTTCAAGGGCGAACCGACGACGGAAAGCCGATGGCACGATTCTGCGGCCATCGGTGAAGGGGGTGGCTGGCGACGCGTGCTGGCGGCAGCAAGGGCACGACGGCGCATGCTGGCGTCATCGACTCGGTTTCGTCATCGTCAACATCAGGAGGACGGCGGCGCTGGCATGAGGATTTGGGCCAATTCGTTCGTAATCGGCAATTACGTTAGCCAGGTACGCGATTCTTCTCATGTGCATCGCGATTACACCCTGAACGTAGCGTCGCCCTTCGAGGCATCACTAGTTCTAAACCGTCGTTCTTGCTGTGGCTTGTCTGATCCGTTCGCGCGTCTAGGGCGTACGGTATCCGTGTCTTTGTTTGCAAGAAAAGAAACCCAGCGCAAAGGCTGGGAACAGATCTAATCGGACTATAGCGATAACCGCTTCTCGTTCGATAGATCGGTTGTACAAGGGATAACCCCATACGCCTGTCGCGCATAGGGTGGAGAGCTGCAAACTCTCCTGCTACGTGCGCCATAAGGGACAAATCCACGTAGTACAACCCATCAATCGAACGATTAGCGGAGAAATAAAAATAACAGAAAACGATCTAGCAAGTTTATCGTTATCCCTATAGAACGAGATTAGAACAGATCGATGTTGACAATATACCTTGGCTGAAGAGCACCTCGTGCTGATAACGTGTTAGAATTCATGTTGTCAACAATCGAACAAGCACACAATAACACACGGACATGAAAGTGGAAGGCAATCAACTTTATTGATGTTTCTCTCTCTGTTACAAGTATTACTTTGCCCTCAACCTCACTATTGTATTTATACCCACAATAGGATGTCCTATATGGATACATACATATATATTTGGTATAAGCCCACTTCCTTAATAAGGAAACAGAAGAATAGAAGGAGGAGGTACCGTGATCCTCACGATCACGGTCCTACAAATCCGACTCCTTTGGGAGATCGGTTTCATAACAGTCAGGGGGTTACAAACCAGAGTTAAAAACCCTTTCTCCAGCAGCTACCTATTGTTGAGAAGGCCGCACTCAATTAATTTCTTTAATCTCACATGATTATTTAGATTCAGGACTTTTGGTTTGTACAGATTCTGATCCTTGCACGGATTGAGGGTTGGTCTTCTTTGATGAACCATGCAGAGAACACGGGATGTTGGGATATAGGATATCCGATCTTCTTTTAATCTTCTAGCTAGTACATGTTGTATCTTGTAGTTTTAGTCTAGTAATTTATAATTTAATTTTTACCAATTATCTCACCATTGCTTAAATGACTGGATGTTTGAATTGATAGGCTGTGTTCTTGGTTAATCTCTTTTTTTACACTTATCACATATATAATTAATTAATTATATAAGTCATACCACATGTTGAGAGACAATGGTGACACAATCGACTTGAAATCCTGGCTCCGGCCATTATGGCACGTGGAGGCTAAGAAATAAGCAACTCAATTTACGGGTTCCGCATGGTAGTTGGGTGGTCACTGCCATCACTACTATAGGTTCTAATATCGAATAATTGTTTGTTAAAATTTTAACCAAACAAAAGAAAATATATATACACTTTAAAATATACTCCCTCCATATTTTAATGTATGATGCCGTTGACTTTTTGACCAATGTTTGACTATTTTTTTATTCTTTTTTTTGTAAATATGAAAATATTTATGTCATGCTTAAAGAACATTTGATGATGAATCAAATTACAATAAAATAAATAATAATTACATAATTTTTTTAAATAAGACGAATGGTTAAACGTTTGATAAAAAGTTAACGGCATTCTACTTTAAAATACAAGCTAGCTAGTCCAAGTCCAGAGATAGATCGATGCATGACCTAATTAATTAACTCTCCGGTGTGTGCGTGTGTTGGGGCTGGGGCCTGCAGGCGTTGCCTTCATGCAGAAGAAATAATTGTAGTGGTGGTCCGTCCGCCGGCCATTGGATATGTCGTCATCGATCGTCTTCGGCGTCGTCGTCGTCCTTTCTCCAGCTCTCGCTGACAGGATTCTGTGTGGAGAGCGGCCGGCGGAGTTGGTAGCGAATTTGCAAATGCACGCGGTCGCGCCGAATTCTGTGTGGATGACGGCAGCCCGCCCGGTCACCCTAGCATACGCACCCGGTCTTGAAAACTTGAGACCAGTATGAAACATTGAAAACCCCTCTGCACGCATATATATATATATATATATATATATGAGTTGCATAATATGAACCAAGGTGCATATGCACCTATATGCATAGTTTGACACATGTATCTACCTGATTGGTTCCCTTCATGGTGGCTGTAAGGGATGGTACATGTTATGATTTTTGTGGTCCAAAATGTCCCTTAAGTAGTACTATAATAGTTCGAATGAATTGTTTTTGTGGTTTTCCTTTTTTTTTCAAAGTAATGTCCTATGTTTATTTAATATGTTGATAAAAAATATGACATTATATTTCTGAAAAACATATAATGTAGATTCACTACAACATATTGTGAGATAATTTTGTAATTTTTTTATAACTTTAGATATGTAATTGATATTTTATTCAAGAATAATGTATTTCTATTTCCCCCCTCAACGGTTGTATTATCTTTTTATGGGTGGATTTTGTGTTCTCTTTGGTTTGCATTTGCAAGAATTTTTTTTCTCATGGTTTTTTAGTCAATGCAAGTTATAGGTTTAGATATAAATTATTTTGTAAATGCTATTTAGAGATGTGTCATTTGCAAGTTTCATTTTTAGAGAAATGTCATTAGTATGAACATTAGGAGACCATTTGCACATTTTATTTAGAGATATAAAATCATTTTCTAAATGCTATTTAGAGAAATGTCAATAACAGATCATCTGCAAATTTTATATTTCATACAAACGAAGATATATGATATATCAGTATGAACATGTTCAATAAATCTTAATATATATTACTCTACTACAAAGTTAAGAGAAATAAAAAATACTAATATTTATATGTACGAGTACAAGATAGAAATTTGCTTTGAATCAATGAACCAATGAACGTCTCGTATTGTAACATACTAGTATAAAAGGGCAATTTGGGACAAACTCAAAGTGGGCAGTGGCATTGTGTACCTTCCCTCATCTCTCCCCTATATAGTAATAGCACAAATCTTAGCAGCCATCAATGGTGTAAATTGTTGGTGCATATGAACCTAGGTTCACATTTGCTTTTCCATATATATATATATATATATATATATATATACTTAAAAAAAAATTTGTGCGTTACAACGAGTGAAGGTTATTTTAATCTTATTATTATTATACGGTTTAGTTAAGGTGAAATTTACTGTGGGAATTCTCTTAGATATTTTTTTTTACAAAATCAGGAGCTGCAATTAAAAGTCCGATCGTCTTAAGTTAGTATATAAGTTTTTCTTTAAAAGAAATTTCTTATATGACTTTTATGGTATTTCTAAAAGCGAAATAACTTAAAAACTGACTCAAACACGGATCTGTATTTCTAAAAACGAACGAACTTAAAAACCGACTTAAATACGAATGAGGTACTAAAATACCGATAAAAACATCTTCAATGTTTATAATAGTAAAGAGAGATAGAAATAAAGATACTTAGCACAATTATTTGCTTAATATTTGATTTTCTTTTCCTAAAAAAATTATACTTTCGGTCGTTCTATATCTGTTCCAAGATGTTTTGATTTCTGCAATAATGTCGTTCTATATCGGAAGTATGTATTTGTTTTGATTTCCTTTTATTTTTTTTTCTCGTTCACTTAGTTTTCATTCTCTTCTTCCGTCTTCCGATGCGTGGACGCTGCATATTGGCAAGACCTCCGGTGAAAACTCTTCATTCTTAATTGCATCTGACGGTTCTTGTTATTCCGATGAT